TCCCAGTGGTCCTGCCTCCAGCTGCTGCACACCTGGCTGCCTGCTGCCCTACTACCCTGCTGCTGCATGGGTAAGTGGGCGGGAAGGAAATTCCCAGGGGAACCCCAGCGGGAGGGCTAAATAAAAGCTGGAGGCGTGGCCTGGCAACATGCCATGGCCCGGCAGAGAGGGGTTCGCAGACCAGTGGGAGGTGGGGAAACAACTTGATTTGTGAGGTGGGGGAGGTGGGAGGGAAGGGACAAGAAAAGGGAAGGGGAATAGAGAAAGGGGAGGAGAAAACAGAAAAGAAGGATAGATGTTTACACCCTTCTCTGGAGAATCTGATATTGACAGATGTCAGAGATAGGGCGCTGGATTAGATTGGCCATTTAACTGATTCAGTGTCAGTTTCTCAGTTCCTAAGAATGAGAGGTGGCAAAAACCTCAGAAAAGAACATTTTGTCATCACAGATTTCCACTTCCCCTACACTTCAATGCAACTCTGTGAAAGCCACTTTTCAAACGATACTCTTGCATTTTTACACTAGCGTTTGTGTGAGTGAATGAACAGTCAGCTGCTATCTTGACAGTAGCCTGGTCAAGAGGCTGTAACTTACATTTCTGGTAGTATTATATTTAGGGATAGTGAAGTAAAGGGACCCAAGCAAAAATAAAAAGTAAAATAATAATAGCTTTTCAATTATTAGTTTCCAGGCCTGCAGACCTATACAAAGGCACATTGATTTCTGGCCATATCTGCCTCTGCTAGCAGCAGCAGCAAGCCAAAACTTGGGGAGCAGCACAATTAGCTGCAGATTTTACAGTTTAGACCCTTGGGTTTAGCTCTAGTGCTGCCAGCAATTTGCTTGTAGCTGAAGAGAGAGGAAAAGAGTGAACTTAAGATATCCAGAGACTTATTTGTAAAACCAATCACTGGGAAAAAGTGCTGAGACTTTAAAGTGAAACTTGACTGAAAACCATAATTGGAGTTACTTAAAAAATAAAAACTTCCCCATTGGCCCAGATTACAGAAACCCTGCCTCTCCCTTCCCCCAGGATTGCTGCACAGAAAAGGAAATCAGCCCCAACACTGTTGTTTTTTTCATGTTCTGCTAGGCAAGCAGGGACCTTCTCAACCCCCATTTCTACTGGGAGGCTTCAGCTGTGTGGATCACACATGCAGGGGGCTGAGAGTTTTTTTCAGAGTTACCTCTGATTTTAAAATGGAGCATCAGTCATCATTAAATGCCCTTTCAAAGCCTATTTTTTTAAAGGGGAGGGGAGGGAAGGTGCTGCACTGACAACCCCAGACACTGAATTTCTCTAGCTAGAGAGCAGTTTCAAGCAGCTGTGAAAGCTTCCCAAACCTCCCACCAACATGCCTTTTATACCCTGCACTGCAGGACTCAGGGAAGAAAAGGGGTGGCAGTGAGCTGCAGCAAGAGGGTACTTCAGTCTCTATGACCCATACCGGTCTGATCTAAAGCCCACCAAAATCATGCCCATCTCATGTCGCCATGTTTTTCTCTCTAGAGCTGCCAAGATGGGGCTAGTTACAACCAAGTGCTCTCCCTGATCCGCATTGCAGGCAACCCCTCACTTCACAGCCACAGATTCCAAGCGATCTTACAGGCAGCTACTCATTCAAGTGCATTTTCCCACACAAACCAAAAACTGCCCTGATAAAGCACGGAAGCCTCTTCCCCAACAGAAATGTCCTACCTGAGTGAAGCGTCGGACCAAGCAGGTTTTCCCCACGCCAGCGTTGCCAATTAAAACAATTTTGAACAGAAAATCATAATCTTCCATACTCATTTACGCAGCTGCAAGGGAGAGAGAAATATAAATAAGCCAAAGGGGAAGCATCAGCAGAGGCTCACCCAGCTGGTAATTGTGCTAGCTCTGCATTGTCGCTTCACTCTCAGGAGCCTGGCATGTGATCTTCTCGCAGGGCGCCACTAACAAAGCAATGCAGTTTTCAGATTCCCTTGCAACAGGGAAACCAGTATGCACCTTTGCGATCCGTTGAGTTACTGGTGAACTTTACTCCTCCAAATACTCAGGGCAAAGTTTATTACAGAGTTTGCACGGCTAATAAGATAAGAGACTTGCATCTACAATGGTGAGAGGGCGCTTACCTTCCTGACACAGAGGCATTTCACATGCCCACAAACCTGAGCACAAGCCAGCAGAGCCAATTCAACCTTTGCCATCCTGCGAGGCAAAATAAGGCCCTGTTGTAAAAAGATGACTTGAGTGTGAACTTTACCTCCATTCAGTGTGATCCTCAGTGTCCAGGCTGCCGGCTACATGGAATTACAGATGCTGGTTTATGAGCCTATCTTGCTTAGTTTCTGCCGTACCAACCCTCCCCCGCACGCACGCGCGCGCACACACACACACACACACACACACACACACAAAACTACATAAGCCTTGGAGAGACAGGTACAAGGTTTCATTACACGTTTTGCTCCCAAGGCATCTGGTTTGGGCTAAGCCACAAGTTTTCTCTTTCTAAAGAGAACACATTACTTGTTCATATTAGAGAAGTTAGGTATTGGGTAACTGAATAGTCAAGTAACCACGTGAATTCTTACCTGTTACTCGACTAGTCTATATACCTGGGGCTAGACCGGCAGCCAGTGCGCTCCAGCTCCACTCCCAGGGAGCCCCCTGCCACTCCATGTTGCTGCCTCTTTAGAAGAGGCAGCAACATAGGATGGCAGGTGGGAGCCAGCAGCCTCTGTCCACAGCAGCCCCTGTCCATGGGGGGATCCCAGCTTCTGTCTGCAGGGAGCCTGGGCCTGCTGTGGGCAGAGGCAGCTTCCCGGCAACCTCCCCTGCCCCCACCCCACGCTGCTAGAGACAGCACTGGGAAAGGGTGGGGAAGGAGGCACCATAGAGCTGGTGCTGAGTAGAACCGGCTTTTAAGCCAGCTCCCCACAACGCTAGCTCCTGCTTCCCCTGCCTTGCTGCCTCTAATACAGCAATGCGAGTAGTTGAGTAGATTACAATAAGCCTAGGCTTATTGGTTAATCGCATAGTTGACTACACATTTACATCCCTAGTTCATATTCTGATAACTGGCAATACCAATCAGGGCTCCACTGTGCTAGGCACTGGACAAATCAACAGCAGAGGCGACATTAGGGACATGAAAGGTTTAACCAGTAACCCCTACCCATTGGAGGCAGAGGGCTGTTCCTGCCCCATGGGCCACCTCAAACATGGCTGCTCCTGCCAAGTGGGGGGGG